AGCTGGGCGTGGTGGTGCACTCCTGCGTCAAGGTATTTTTATACAATATTTTCAATAATTTTGTGTGTTTTGACCGTGATCACATGAAATCAGGTGAAGAATTTTCTACCTGTAGTGTCATGTTGATGCTCAAAACGTTTCTGATTTTAGAACACTTTGGACTTCAGATTTTTAGGTTATCTGTATTCCCCTCAAAATGAACTGTTTATTCCACCTGCAGAACTCAAAACCTTTGGCTGAAAGGCAAAGTTTTCATTCAACATTGGCATGGTCTTATGATATCTGGCAGAATAATGTCTATCTCAGGAAAAGGACAGGCAAACCATTAAGCTAGAAGATGAAGAGCTTCTTAAAAACATTCCATAGTCAAATATTACTTCTCCTCACATTCAACTGGAACTTTCAAGCCTGGGAAAGACTGCAAAAATAACCAGGGGAACAGAAATGGTCAACCAAATGAACCAAATAACCTAGCACAGGGTTTCTGAAACTGTGGTCACCAGGCCAGTAGTTTGAGCATCACCAGGGAACTTCTTAAAATCAGAAATTGAGGGTAGGGTCCAGTGGTCTCTTTTAACAAGCTTTTAACAAGCCCTCCAGGTAATTTTGACACACACGCTGAAGTTTGAGAATCTCTGGTTTCTAATAATCAAGCCCTGACACTGCACACCTTCAATTTTCAGCTTAGGGCTCCTATCCTAACATGCTCCCTTGTGGCTGGGAGTCTCTGGGCTATGTTTGTGCCTTTCCCCCAGATATTGCAGTCAAGATTCTACCACAGAGCCAAGGCAAATTAACCTCCACTTCAGAGTGCAGGGAGGAGAGAGAATAAAAAATGATTACAAAGAAAGAGAGAGATCTATCTGTCCACAGAACAAACTTCTTAGAAAGCAGAGAGGTGAAATCTTCCAGGTTTCAATTTCTCTTTTCTGGTATTCTCACTAGTATATTCCCAAAGCCACTAACCATCAACTTTGAAAAAGAACTGAAAAATGACCTTCTAAAAATACTGACAAAACAACTGGTTACCTGAATAAAGTTCGGATAGTAATAAACATTTTTAAGAGAACTGAGACTTGGGAAAAAACTGGCCTTAAACTCCTTTTTTTAATTTTAAGAATACAATTTGTAAAGTCTCTTTAAAATCATTCTTGCAAGCTTCAGTAAACATACACAAAAACAACCAATGAACATTATAACAATCATGTTTTTATCATTTAAATGATTGTTCATCCTATAATTATAAAATATAATGATGCTTCAAAACTCACAGGCAAATGTTAATTCACAATTAACATACCAAAGTCTCATATTTTCAATGACAACTCCTGCTTTATTTTTTATTGCGGTAATAAATGTATAACATAAAATAACGTTTTAACAGAAAAATTTGGGTAATGCCATACAGACTCTTTTTGAAAGTGGATAAATATTTACAGAGTATTAGTGGCCTACCCTAGACCTTTGGGAGAGAATCAGATATTCTTGGTTCCCCAGTTCAAGTCTATAACTCACTTCATCCCAATGGGATTAAGCCCTTTTCCCAGTTCAAATACTCAAGTTTAGCTGAAACGTGCTAAGTCTGACATTCCTCCTGTATAAGACTACATAGGCTTGACTAGAGACAGATCTACCTTGGCATATATTCGACCCCCATCTCCATTTCTCTTAGAACCTGGGAGAAACAGTGGTGCATCGAGCCATTCTGGTTGAATGCTTTTCCTGACACACATCCTTAAGTTGACTCTGACCCACCAGGGAGGTTTGCAGCCAAGAGGGAACACATCACTGTGGCAACTCCCCACAATAGACCCCCAAGCAATTAGTACAGCACTCCCAGCTCTGAGGTCAAATGTAGATCCAACTCCAATATGTGAGGAGATACTCTTGAAAACGTTATCATTTTATATTAGTAACCACAATCCTCCAACTCAGTGGCTCTGCATGAACACAAACTTTGCCATGGTGACCGTATATCCTGGTTTGTCCTGAACAGTCCAGGTTTATTACTCACAGTGCTTGTGTCATTATTAGTGGTGCCCCTATTGACAATAAAATTGTCCCATATCAAACAATAAAGTAGATGGTCATCCAACAGATAGGGCCATTGCATTAAAGGAATAGGCATGAGAGACAAACCACAGGCAAGTATGTTAGGGGATGTTTGCAGGTCTACTGCTCTAGGCTACCTTTGTAGACTTTGTATACTTTGTCAAGGACTGAGGGAAACACTTAGGAGACTCTCTTAACAATGATCTTAAGTCCAAATAAATAATTCTCCACTTCAAATGTAGAACTCAGAACAAAGCAAACAGCAGGTCTTCCTTCTGATTTCAAGGGTACCCAGAACTATCCACAGCCAACTCTGCATGAAGCATACTGCAGGATGATAATATGTGGAACCGACCCCTTTAACATGTCCAACTGCAGAATCAACACTCTGGGAAGTTTTCTGGTAAATTCCTCAAAAAGGATGGTCCCAACTTCCCCTACTATGACAGCCATATCAAATGAACCTGGATGCTCTAAAGGAAATACGGCAAACAGCACATAGTGTCAATCACTGCACTTGTCCACTCAACAAATATTTATGTCAAAGATCAAAAGTAGCAGCTCATGGATCTCTGAAGCCATCTCTCAGATGTGTAGTGTTTGGCCCAGATAGGATTCTTAAATGTTTACAATATTTCCCAATACTTTAAAATGCAAGGTCATTTATAAAAATTCAGATTTCCACTTTCTCTTGGGAAATCAGCAGCTCTAGCGATGCTAGACTTGCATTCCATTCATGCCAATTTCCAACTGGAACTAAGTAGCACCTTGAGAAAGGAGTCACTATTCATCCAGTCCTCCATGGTCCTCATTCAACCCTCTTCTTCATCATTTGAGTTTGTAACCACCGATTAATGGCTGTAGATGCTCTCTAGAGACACTACATCTGGCCCTTCAAATTAATAATCCTCTGCCAGGGAATCTCTTGGTTAAAGGCAAATAGTAATTCCTGTCTTTATATCAAACACGCATATGGGAAAAGGCAATAAACAGGAAAGTCAGTTAGAGGTTTTCTTGAACTTTGATGAGAAAGTCTTATGGCTTCCACTGCTCCCACTGGACTAAAAGGTGGAAGTGATCCTAAACATATTAATATTTATATAGTTCAGCCTCTAACGCTTAAATATATAATGGAGGAAAATAAAGGAATGTTTATAATTGACTTCCTACCAATGAGACCAGGAGGAACTCAACAGCAGCTATTGAGAACTCAAGGTGCCATGACTATCATTGAGATTAGCAACAATGTGTCAGGCATCAGATGTGGCTGGAGGGAAATAACTTTAACATAAACCCCTAAGAGTCATGAAAAGTTCCTTAAAGTCCTGAAAAAATGCAACTGGCTCCTCCTTACCGCCAGAACCAGAAAAATGTAATACAATAAAGATGTAACAGCTTTCAGAAACTTTCCAATTTTAACATATGTAAAAGCTGAAAAGTTTTGAACAAATGGTCACAAAATGAAATTCATTAAATCGTGGTTAGAATCTTGAAATAATTTTAGTACAATATTTTGCCATAAACATAACAGTGATCACAAATTTAAACTGCTCTTTTCACATCAGGAGTTCTTTTTATTGGGCGCCTTTAATGCCAGCTACTCGGGAGGCTGAGGCACAAGAATCGCTTGAACCCGGGAGGCAGAGGTTGCAATGAGCTGAGATTGTGCCACTGCACTCCAGCCTGGGCGACAGAGCGAGACTCAAAACTCCGTCTCAAAAAAAAAAAAAAAAAAAAAATTTTACAAAGTGATGAAATCTAAGACAATTAACTTTTATTTTCTTCAATTCAACTATAAGCCTTTTGTGAAAACTATTCTATTCCAAGTCTTTCAATTACAGACAGAAGAATTGTGAAATAAAAAAATTAAAGCCTTATTTATAGGATGCTTTTCTCATCTGGCTACTATTAATTTCCCAGCTATCAAAAGAAAGCCACATGGTGCAACCTGAGACTTTATTTATATTTAGACAACAATATTTTTCCAAAGAACCTAAAGTACTGTGCAAACATTAAATAACCATTTTTAAAACAGCATTTTTTTGGAAGCTTTTGAGATGGGGGGAAAAAACTCATTACAAATTAAAGGGGAAAAAGCTTGTTTTCAAAGCCACAATCACTGCATAGTCAAGTTTTCCTCTCCCTGTTCCATAAGATCCACATCTGTTTTTAAGGAAGTAAAAGTTTACTGTTTGGTAATTCGATTTAGAAGACTAAAAAAAAATTAAAAACAAAAGTGAAAAACAAATTTTTTTAATTGTATTAGAAACCTGTTCTACTACACTACCTCCAATAAGCGTGTTTAAAAACTGCAAAAAAAAGAAGGGCTTCTTTCCATTCAATATCCAAATGCAGAATTCTTCTTCGCAGACAATCTGACAATGTCTAATAACTTTTCCCTACGCCCCGCTCCGAAATCAGAGACCTGCAGGTGCTGGGGCGAAGATGACACGACCAGCCAAACCGGTTAAGGACCGTGATTGAGAACTAGTGAGAACCTCTAGGAACCCAACCTTCTGCGTTCATACACGCGCGCGCGCGCGCACACACACACACACCACACACACACACACACACCACACACACACGGCAAGCAAGCCATCTCCGATCACACTCCAGACACCGCCGTCCTCCCGGGACGCGCGCTCCTCTACGCGTGCTCTTTGGACGCGCCAGCTCCTCCTCCATCCCGGGACCGCTGTCCTTCTCCCTCCGCGTCCCTGCTGCAACCGGCCGGCTCCAGCCGCTCGCCCAGTCCCCGAATGCCTTCTCTACCCCTCCCAAAGTCCAGGGAAGCGGACGAGACGGCGCTTGAGAGCGCCACGTGGAGCGCGCGCGCCTGCAGCCAAACCACAGTAGGTCCTTAAAGTGGCGTCCCCGCCCCTCCGCCCTGCTCCCGGATCCCCCAAGGCCAAGCCCGCCCCCGCGCCTCCGAGCCCCAGTCTTGCCTGGTTGGGGTCTGTGGCGCGGAAAACGTGGCAGGCCATCTGCGACTCGGGGTCGTCGGGCTGCGCCTTGATCAGGTAGGCAAAGTAGGTGAGGTCGTGGCTGTTGTGGATGAAGCGCGAGATGTGCTGCGCCTTGTGCTCGAAGATGAACACGGCCGGACTGGGATGCGCTGCCGACGGACTGGTGCCCCCCGAGGCCCCGGCGCCCGGCGCGGGGACGCAACGCAGGAAGGGCGCGCTGAGCACCAGGATCACCTCGCGGGCCGCCGGCGCCCCGCAGCCGCCCGCCTCAGGCTTCTGGCTGCGCCTGCGGATCTCGGCCATGAGCCAGGGCAGCATGGGCAGCGTGGTCCTGCGGTCCAGGCACGACCCCCCCACGTACCACAGCCGGAACCGCTTGTCGCCCGGCTTCCCGGAGCCGGGCTGAGCTGAGACGCCCGGCTCGGGCTCCAAGGGGTGCGGGAACGGCTCATCCTGAATGCAGCTGGGCGGCTCCATAACTCTCGCCTCACCAAGGCACCGCGGAGGCCAGCCGGGCGCACCGCGCCCCCCACTCCCGCGCAGAAGGCGCCGCCGAAACTGTGCCAACTGCCGCACCAGGCCCCCGCGCCCGCCTGGGAGCGGCGCGACCCCGAACTCCGCGCTTCAGCAGCCCTGCCCCATGCAGCACTTCCACGGGCGCGGCTCGGAGGCTCCGGCGGCAGGCACCGAGGCAAGCGCCCGGCAGCCGGAGGGATAGGCGAAGGTGGGTTAAATGGGCATCCTCCTTGGACTGGCGCCTCGGGCAGGACCTCCCCTTCCTCCGTCGCGAGTTTGCAGGGTCAGAGGACCACGCCGAGGGTCCCCACGGCCGCCGACTCCAGCGCTGCAGCCCCGCTGCAGCCTCCGCGCTCGCCTTGGGCAGGCACTGGGTGGCTGGGCGGGGAATGGGGCTGTGGGCGGGAGGGGGTGACTTGGGGCGGAGCTGACTCCTACCAGGGTGACCGGCTGTCACCTGGAAGGTCGGGGCTGCCGGGCTGCGGCGCGTTCAGTCCTCGGGAAAGGCCTCCGACAACTACTCCAATGGAAAATAACAAAAACAAAATGTGGCCTCGCGGGGCCGCTCCGCCTCCCGCCGCTGCTGCAGCCCAGCTCGCTGCTCCTCCTCCTGGCGTTCCCGTCCCTCCCTCGCTCCTTCCTTCCTTCCAGGCTGCTTCTTTAATTGGGCTGCTAACCCGCCTCCCGTCCGGCGGGCGGAGAGCGTCGCCTGCAAAAGCTTATCTGCGAAGCCGCCTCTCCGCCTCTTCCTTCGACCCCCGCCCTTGGGGCTGCAGCTTAGAGCCTGGCGTGGGCACTGCCTGGACCCGCTTGGCCTCTCTTAGGTTACTGCGATCGCCATCTCCTCCCGGGCGTCTCTGCTGCCCCCTAGAGAGGGGGCCACTCGCAATGGAGAACTGGGATTTTTTTTTTTTAACAGTATTTGCTTGGTTTCAATTCCTTCTAAAACCTACACATTAATTTCTGAATTATCCTTCCTAATAATCTCAAAAAACGCTCGTGTTTTCAATCACAATATTATAAATTCCAGTTCCAATTTTCACTTTAAAACATAGTATTGACAACTTGAATCTTCTTAGTTCTTAAAGCAGCCAGCTTCTTAAAACGTGGAAAAATTATATTTTATTTATTTTATATTCCCAGTTGAGAGCTAATGTAGAGATTTCTTGTTCTTTTATGTATATGTGATAATACATATTTCCAAAGAACTAAAAAAAAGTTCGGAATAATTTGATCATTGTAATTTTAAAACAAGTGGACAAATATTCTCTCTTTACTCATACTGAATGATAATTAAGAATTGGGTAAGAAGTAAAGACAAATAGGAAAGACACAGAAGTTCTTGACTTTCTCCTAAGTGCTTACAAGAAGAATGAAAACTCGGTTTTTAGTTTCTTGGTTTTTAGTTTAATGAGTTCTCACTTTCTAGAAAGTCCTGGGACCACTTTTTCCCTTCTGTTTATTTAAGGTCAATATGACTAACTGTCATTATTCCTATGCTGAATTTCTGGTTGCGCCCTGATGGCTTTCTTATTAATAGGTATCTAAATTCCAAGATGGAGACATTACTAATTGATTAGGTTAAGTCATTTGGTTTAACCACTTAAAAAACCTTTGTTCAAAAAGACCCATGTCTTCAAAGAAGCAATGAAAAGTTCTTGGAAGGTAGACTGAGACCTTCTAAAACTGTAAGAGAGTTCCCAGAAACTCTCTTACACAGATCCCATTTCCTTAGGCTACACATCTGAGACATATAAAAGAAAGGAACAAAAATATAGAGAAAGCATGGAAGTCTTGTAGATTCTACAAAATCAACCAGCTTGGGAGCTAGGATTGAATTAATAGCTGCAGCAGGCCAGTTCCTACTGGCGTAATAAAGTGAAGTAACAAAGAACACACTTTCACTGATTGACAGAAAAACAGAATTGCCTTTTAATACATGACATGCAAAGTATGATTGCTTTCTGCTTAGAAATGCCCCTTATTCTTTCTATTGTTATGTTTTTGTTTTTGGTTTTGTTTTTTGAGATGGAGTCTTGCTCTGTCGCCCAGACTGGAGTGCAGTGGCGTGATCTCAGTTCACTGCAACCTCCACCTCCCTGATTCAAGCAATTCTCCTGCCTCAGCCTCCCGAGTAGCTGGGATTACAGGTGCACACCACCACATTAGGCAAATTTTTTTGTAGTTTTAGTAGAGATGGGGTTTCACCATGTTGGCCAGTCTGGTCTTGAACTCCTGACCTCAGGCAGTCCGCCCACCTCGGCCTCCCAAAGTGCTGGGATTACAGGCATGAGCCACCACGCCCGGCCCTGTTACGTTTATCTTACTGCATGCTGATGAGCATGTTTTACTGTCTGATCCTCTCTGCATCCTCACACATGGGCAGATAGTCCTTTCCTGCCCTCTTTGAAGTTAGCCACAGTCATATGACTTGTTTTGACAGTGAAATGTGAACAGAAGTGACTTGGGTAGAAGCATTTAATTGCCAGTAGTCAAGGCTCTGCCCACTCTTCTCTCCAGTGGCCAGTGTGGAGACATGTCCAGGTAGAGGCTCCTTGTAACCAAAGCAGCCCCAAAGGCTGAGTCAATACTGGTCAGACAGCTGTCCTGGAGAATCTCCCAGGCCTGCAGCAGACTCCTCAGGAGTAAGAAATAAACTTTTCTTCTACTAAGCCACTGAGATTGTGGATTGTATTCCACTGTGTTATTATCTCTTATCCTGCAAATAAAATTGTTACACTCTAGCATTAATATATGTTATACAAATTGTTTTATAATCATTCATACATATTTTACTTAGTATACACATTAACTAGATGGTGAGCTATTATTTTCTTACCACCATTGTATCACTTGCAGAGCTTTACAAAATTACATGCGCGTGAAAAGTTCCCAATTATATATTTGATCACTTAAATTTAGAAAACAATAAGAGGGCCGGGCTTGGTGGCTCCACTCCTGTAATCATAGCACTTTGGGAGGCCGAGGCGGGCAGATCACTTGCAGTCAGTAGTTAGAGACCAGCCTGGCCAACATGGTGAAATCCCATCTCTACTAAAAATACAAAAAATTAGCCGGGCGTGGTGGTGGGTGCCTGTAGATCCAGCTACTGAGGAGGCTCAGGCGGGATAATCGCTTAAACCTAGGAGGCAGAGGATGCAGTGAGCCAAGATAAATATAGTATTTACTTTATTCCCACTGTACTCCAGCCTGGGAAACAGAGCCAGATTCCCGAGAGAGAGAGAGAGAGAGAGAGAGAGAGAGAGATTGAGAGATTTCCTGAAGCACAAAGCTCTACTGTTTCTACCTATTTTATTTTTGCTCCCCATTCCCCTACTCTCTCTTCCACACAGTCTCTCTGTTCCCATAGTACATGTTCATGTCTTTATGGGGCTTCACCAGCTTCTTCCTCTCCCCAGCTGCCTTTTCTTCCCACTGCTTGCATTTCCTCGTCCTTCACTATTTCAAGACCCATATTCTTCAAGACCCACCTCAAGAGTCATCTCTTCTGCAAAGATCTTTCTTACTTTGGCAGCCAGAGCTAATGGCCTTCTCTCCTTCGCCCCCTTTTCTGTGCATTTCACTATTATAACTCTTATCATTCTTTATAATTTTGGGGTGATTTGTCTGCATTCCCACCACAACAAGAGCATCTTGAGAGAAGGGATTATTTTTCCCCCACGTCTGAGTCAGTGGTTCCTCTGAAGGGATTATTTGTTTGTCTCATACTTTCCTCCAGCAAAAAGCACAGTAACTGACACTAGGTAGGTGATAAATAATGAATGAATGAATTAGTTGAATAAATAGCAGATTCGAATTTAAGAAACTAAAGAGGGATGTTTTGATATCATAGAGGTGATATGCCAAATGATTTAATGAGCTAAATTCAGGTTAACCTTCTAAATATAAACTAATTATAAAATACTAGAAAATAATAGAACGCCTCCCAAAAAATGTAGTGGAGTTCTGGCTGGGGATAACACACAGAACCCAAGCATTTGTGATTAACAGGATTTCAAGATATTCACAGGGTTTTTCCTCATTGTTCGCTGTGACCTTCCTTCAGCCCCGGCAGCCAGGGCATTCCATCTTCCCACTTCAGGGAAAGGATGACACAGCAGAACACAGAGAACAAAAGAGTTCATTCTTAGCTTTCAGGCAAAAAAACCCAAGGACCTGGCAAGGCAGGCAAAAGATTTAGAATACATTATATGCTCCGAGAGTCAGTTTCTCTTGCTCTAGACACTAAAGAGAATTTCCCCAAACTTGGGAGATAGAGGAGAAGAATGGGAATAAGAGGGTTTGGGTCTTGTGGATCTCCAGGGAGGGGACCTAGGCTCTACCTCTTCTGGTTAAGTCCGTGGAGGGGGGCATAGTTCTCCAGAGCGGAAGCTGTGCTGCCCTTTACCAAGGGTAGCCCAGGAAACCTGCAAGACCTCAGCGTTTCTCCCACACCCATCATGGAGAGGGAGCAGAAGAAGGGGAGGGGGCATCTAGGCAGCAGACCTTAAACAGCCTCTGGAAATGCCCTGCATGGCAAAGGGAGCACTGGATATATCCTCATGCAGCCAAGGAAGAGCGCAGAGACAAACCAGAGTCAGTGAACTGAAAAGCCCTTGCAGTCAGGACAAGGAGGACAAGGCAGTGACTTTGTTCGCTGATGCACTGCTACACCTACTAGGACATACAGCAAAGACTCAGATTGATAACCCTACCGGAGGTCTAGAAACCATCTCATCCAGCCTACTGCCTAAAGCTGGAAGACAGAAACCTCCAAAAGGAAATTCTACCCTGCCCCCACCCCCCACCCCGCAAAAAGGTGGTGTTGGACAGAGAGAAAAGATGACATAGAATACAGAGTAGAATTACATTCCTAGCTACTGTGAATGATTAGTTTGATTCAGAAGGGCTTCCCATCCACCCACACACCAAATACAGGAAAATGATAAATTAAAAAAAAAAAAAAAAAACTTAAGCAACTATGAAAACTAGAAGGAAACATTTCTAGATGCCAGAAACAAAGAGTTAGGCCAAAACCACAATGGTCAGTGGCAGCGGAAGCCAGCAGCTTCTGAGGCTATCAGATCTAGAAATACGGGTGGGTAGCTGGGACCATATTTTCATGAAAGATTATAGATGAGGCTAATAGAAGTTAGGACCTGGAACTGCGCTCCGTGATTAGAGACAAAAGCTGCTGACTGGCAAGCTGTCTCATCTATAAAACAAACAGTGGAAAACGTTCATCAGCCATTATGGGAAAGCAGTGAGGAGTCTGGCAGAGCCCAAATTAACTTTATGTGCATCGTGGGAGAGAATGAAGTTAAGAAAATAATAAAAACAGCCTTGAACTGGTGAAAATGGAAAATCTCCCTGGGGATCACGAACCAGTCTCCAGAGGACCCAGTCCTTCTTCATAGCTAAGTTCTGTGTTCCTCTCTGTTGG